GGCTCCACGTAGGACTGCTCTGTGTTTAGGAACAGCGTTGGGTGAGAAGGAGGTACCACCACAGGAGCAGGCCAGGGATGGGTTTGGAGCATCCTGGCCCTTTGCTACACCCAGCAGAGATGCGCCCATTCCTCAGTTCTCCATCTCATCAACCTGCCGCTCCGTGTCCAGCCGTAGGACACGCAGTGACATGGGCATCTCAAAGAGTTCTAAATTTGGGGGGTTCAAATCCAAACATTTATCCCCCATAGAAAAGTCATCAGAAATGAACTACTTTTTTGTTTTAAAGAATGAACAAAGCAGCTATTCAAGAGTGTTTGCAAGGAGTAGGCTGGCACGGATTAGAATACGAAAGTTCCTTAGCCAAATAACACTATTCGAGAATCATTCTTCTTGATGTTAGGGCTCAACCAAATTATTACAGTTGTCAAGTCCGCTCCAAACAAAAGAAGTTATTGAATTTTACTCACTACAAATGGTCAGGATTTGAGATTTACATCTCACCTAATCATAACACCTCCAGCTACAGGGCTCAACAAACCTGGGACATAGCTAAGAGTGCTCCCTACCTAAATAAAAGTTTACTCAGTTGTCCATGCATCCACAGCACTTCCCGTATCCACAGCATATTGCTAAGGACCTTCCTTCTGCGTAGACTACAAAGAATTATCACAATCACTTCTACCCAAAGCCTTCAGTGTGTTTAGAGAGCCTCCTATTCAAGAGATGGAGAGACACAGTTCTGCTTCCCTTCTAACTCCTTTTACTGAATGCTGACAATGTACTGGCACAACGCACCATCAGCAACTGGTGTGCTGAAAATAGCGTCTCTAATCTGAAGAGCATTGGGTTCAGCACAAAACCCTGCAAATGTTTACAGCGATTTAAAATAGGTGATTAGTAGGAATATACAAACAGTTGTATTATCTTTAAAAAATACAGTCACAGAACACAAAATCTTGTATTAAAATTACTGTGGAGTTACCTCATGCTGTTCCTTTTGGGATCTGGAGCAAGTTTATGTTGACTAAGTTACATCACAATGATATTTATCATGCTTACACCTGTGAACCAAAATAATTTGGTGTTCTTCCAGTTCCCTTCTCACATAGCTTTTCATGTTGTCCCAAACAGCCATTATGTTTATACAAGTGACCCATGGTCAGGGTTGCCAGGCTGTCCTCTCCTTACTTAGCGTCGGGCATACTACCAGCTGCAGCCTCTTTGTGTTCATCTACGCCAAGCGTCAACATATCATTTATTTTCTAAGTAGTCCAAGTTGTCTTGATCCTTTCTGCATCCATGTTACAGCCCTCTTCTAACACTGTGGCAAGAAAAAAGGCTTTTGTCCCAGCATGGAAAATACATTGCTTAAGGCACTCCTGAAACAAGTACTGGGAGGTACTGAAAATAATAGATCCCTCAACAGGCAGACTTGATAACCATGAAACAAATCATTGATCCAGGAGCCCCTTGAAGGCTGAAGATCTGGACAGGACTCTAGGATGTGCGGTGCACCATGTGTTCCTTCCAAGAGCCTTGTCAGACAACTAAAAGTTCTTTATTGCACAGAGAGAACCTATTCAAGATACACAGAGCATGTTTGTTTCTTTTCGCAGAAACACAGATTACCATCTTGGCTGAAAGTCAGCAAAGATTTTCCAGGTTCTCCTGCTTCTCCGAGGTTACAGCATGTTCCAAAAAACAAGCATGGTAGGCAACAACATCCCATACAGTTACTTTCTTTCCAAGCCTCACTATTTCCCTTGCATCCATTGTGCACCGGTTCTGCTGGAGTCTATTGAAGGTTTTTCCTATTTCTGAGCACCTCAAAACTGTCCTGTTGCATGGTCTGTTCTTCACCACTCTGGAATAAAATCAGAGTTGCTAACAGAATAAAAGAGTTTATTGAAAAAAACAAGCATTGTCTGGTGTCATTACAAAGCATACACTCCATTTTGATCATGCAAGGAATTAAATCACAAAACCAGTGCAAGTTTGTTATCTTGACAAATCTTAGCAAGACATTTTCTCTTCAGTTAAAAGCTCATTGTGGCTTTTTTCCTCCTTTAGTAAGGCCCCATAAAGGCTTTTTGATATCAATGAAAATCATAAAAGGCTTTACTTAACAGTAGAACCTTAATCAATGCAGTTTAAAAGTACTGCAGTTATGTATAAAGTACAAGGAGACAGTACCTTGAAAGTGCAAATTAGTAGGAAGAAACATTGTTACCTCTCCAACCACCTTACTCTCATTGAATTAACTGCATAGAAAACTTAGAGCATGTCTGAATCATGAATCTGAATCTAAAAGCATACTCCAGTTACACAAAGTAACCTCTTAACAGACATTCAAGTCAGGGCCGCCTTCTCTGTCATTCCTGAACAGCAGCTGTGCCCTTCCAGCCACATGAATAGCAGGAAGCCAGGCACCACAATCCATGAATTCATGGCAACCATAAAAAAAATAATATATATATATATATTCATATATAAAAAAAGGTTGTGCTTCACCACACAAACTGGGGGTGGTGTTATCCCGTTAAAAAGCTGCCTGAAGAAGTTCAAACACCAGCCCAACCTCATCGTAACCTTCTCTGAACCATGCAGCTAATTAGGTACGTGGGCTCATACAGTCTGTTCATGCTAATCAAATTTAGCATAGTAGCAAACCCAGCTTGCAAACACATCATAAGAAAGTTGGCAAATATTTATCAGTGCCAGGACCTCCCAAGACTTGAAGAAAAACTACTATGGGGCTGCCTTCCAAATCTGTACAGTAGCTTCTTACATTTTTGCTGTTTTGGAAACCAACCAGCAACTGTTTACATTTCATGACTTGTGCTTACATGTTCCCTTTGTTGACAGTGTCTGGAAAACTTGAGAGTGAGGGGATTTTGCAAACACCTCCATTGTCCAAATATTCCCATTTATCACGTATCACAACCTAAAAATGCCACACATTTAAAACCAGTAAAACATGGTAAGTGCAACAGATCACCCCTGCCTAATTCCAGATAAATCCCACCCAAACACATATGCCAAGCTGACTGAAATGCATTACTCTACTGAGTTTCATAAAGCTTTTGTGTATCATACATCATTGGGGGTGTATCATATCATACACCTCCAATATTGCCAACAGTGTATCAAACCATCCACCTTTTCTTGCAAAATATATAAAATCCTAACAACCATAATTTAGGAGGGAATACCTTGAGAGTCAGTTCAAGCTCTCCATCCTAGAAGTATCCCCACCTCTGCCTCCCAGGTCACAGCAACGACTCACCCTTGTTTTCACAGCTGTTGTGCAGAACACAGCACAAAGTTATTATTCCTGACAGGTACTACTTAGTTGCCTCAAGTCTTCTAGTATGTACCCGCCATCTACCTTTCTATTTCCCAAAGGTATGTTCCATTGTCATCCTACAACTGCTTACATGGTAGTTAAACACTTCTTTTCTACAATGCAAATATCCACTCAAAGGCTTTATTATTAATGTTTTTAGAGACTGCAGTGAGTCTCTGGGGATAAGAAAAGGAATGCTGATGCATCCCATTGCTGGCTCTTCCCTCTGCCCAATAATGCACATGGCCAGCTGTGCAGTATTACACGTGAGAAAAATTTTCCTTCCTGACCCTTCCCCAGGTAGCAATCACTCTATGCCCTGAAGCAAGGTATTTCCTTCTACATCTGTATTTTCTAATTTATCCCTTACTCAGCACTGGAAACCAGCAAGAATTTCTGAAAAATCTAGCACTTTACTCTGCATTAAAATCAGTTAATCTAACAGGTAGTTAAGAAAGGCATCGCAGCACACTGAGGAATCAACCCTTCACTTTGTGAATGTCAGCAACTAACATGAAAATGACAAAGAGAGGTTTCATCAACAGTTTCAGTCGTAAATTTCCCACATATAGATCTATAAGTGATCTCTTCAAAATTGAGAAGTGTTATCAAATATCGTACTACTTTTGCAATAGCATTACAATGACTTTGGGAACAGACATTTCTAGATCTACTGATTTGGCTGTGAGGGCTGGGTGGCAATGGACAAACTTAGCTGTCAAGACATAGAAAGACAGTCAGCATACAGCTTCTGGATTTCCTGGATAACCTCCACACATCATCAGGAAAGCATATTTGGATGTTCTGAAGCTCAGGAGCCAGTGTCACTTATAGCTGGTTATGGCATAGTCCACTCCCACCTTTCCCGTGCACATGTTTACTCAAAGACCTACACATTCCCAGTTTCTCTGTTGCCCGTAATGCTCTATCACAGATTTAGAAATGGAGTTGGCTTCTTGAAAAGCAGCAGCTAACAGATGGCAAGCAAGGAGCCATGGGATCATGTCAGAGTCTGATTCTCAGGTGCAAACTTTGGCTGCATGTCCAACCAGGAGCTACAGGCGTCATCCCACAAAGCCGAGGCCGGGCCCGGCAGCGGCACACGGAGGCACGGCGAGAGCCACGGCGCAGTTCAGAGGCTGCTCGCTCACATCGAAGCGGTGACCTGTCGGGAAGCAAAAGGCTGTTTGTTACGGCGCCTGTGTTTTGTGCCAATTACGAAGCAGTTACAGTGAAAGATGTCGCTTTGATGTAAATCTCTTCAGGTAGTGAATGTTAAACACCGCGCACCGCTGGGTAGGTGTATGATTTTGCAGGATTGGAGCCCGCATCCAGGAGTAATTAGTAAGACTGTGCCAATCTCCAGCCCGTGTACTGGACTGCTGGGCCTGATGCAGAGGCTACACAGTGGGATACTCGTAATTAGCAGAGATGCAACACAGTGAATAATTGGAAAGATACGGAAATGCCACAGAAGTTTATAAATGGGAAAAAAAAAAATCCTTAGATCTAGACAACCTCGTATCACCATGAAACTTAAGGCTCTCCTTTTGAGGGGGGTGTGAGGGAGCACCGCTACTAAACCCGGCAATTTCCTAATTTTCTCTTGGCTGCGACCAGCCTGTGGCTACGGGCAGGCGGGGTGGGGGGGCGGACGAGCCGGGGACACCCTTGGGGCACCGGGCGGAGCTGGGCCGGGCCGGGGCGTCCCTCCCCGCTGCCTGGCGCTTTCGTTTTCGTTTTCGCTTCTGCCTCGCCGGAGCCCAGCGCCAAGGCAAGCCCCGGATCCGCTTCGCTGCCCCCCGGCCTGCCCTCCCCGCTCCTCCCAAGGCTGACGCTCCGCACCCCCCCCACCCTCCCCAGCCCTGCTGCTGTCCCGCTGCCCGCTTCCCCCTCGGCCCCGCTTCTCCTCCCCCGGCTCCGCTTCTCCTCCCCCGACCCCCCCCGGTCCCCTCCCTGCCGGTCCTTTCCTTCTCGCCGGCCTTTCCCCCTGTGGCGGGGCCGTCCCGCCGGGTGGCCGCACGGCCATTTCCTGGAGGCGAGCTGGCGATTCCGGGCATGGCCGCTGGTGCTTGCCCCACCTGTGTGGGGCAGCTGCCCTGGGGCGGCTTCTTCTCGGCCTCCTCTGACTGCTCGCTGTTTCCTTTCTTACCTGTTCTAAGCGTGGCTAACAAGTAGTTTATTTGTCGAATGGGGGCTGCTGTTGCTCTCGGGGAGCTTAAAAGTCTGCTGGGTGGTGTTGGGGGTCATGCAGCCAGCCTGGTCCTGCTGTGGGCTGCCCGAGCTAGATACAGAGCTGTATGCTTCTGAGTAAACGCGTTGCAAAAGCAACTTTAATCTGCCTAAATATGGGAATGGGGCAGGAAAAGCTGCTGGATTTTCCTCCTGAAAATCTGAGGCCAAAGCTAGACAAACGGCTCAGCAAATCCCACTGGTAGCAAAGGTGTGGGGTCCTGCTTTTGCTTCTCCGCTGCTCTTCTCGCCCCGCGCTGAGCTGATGCAGGGTGCAGCACTATCAAAAAGTGACTCCTTACAGTTTTCTGCTAGTTTAACAATCTAAGTAAACTTAGCGAGTGGTCAACTCAGTACACAGAAGAAAGACCTTTTTTTTTTTTTTTAATTTAAAATTTAAAAAAAAAATAAAGAAAAAAAAAAATAAAGAAAGAAAGAAAGAAAAGCCACTAGACCAACTCAGCCTTATGGTACCTGCTGTCCCTTTTGAGATGGCTGAAGATGTTCCAAGCTTACACCAGAGTACCAAAAAATTGGCTGAAATACAGCAATTTGCATAAGAGGCTTGTTTATGTCATGAAAAGTCTTTTAATTTCCAAGAAACACTCATGTTTTTTCCTAACGACTGTACACATGTATTAATTAATCATTAGAAGAATATAAAATTGGTCTTAACGGTTGATATAGACAAAACAGAGAAATTAAAAATTAAGATTCCATCCATGGAAGATAACACCGAGTTTTCTCTTATGCTCATTTGCTTATGTAAATGAAAACACAGGAGATTTCTAGGTGTTTCTGTACCAGGTGAGACTGCAGTTTTAGTTAATTGTCTTTGCTTTGTTCTAAACACACCTCTTCCCAAACCATGAAAATTTTCAGGGAATTAGTAGTAAGATCTTAGATCATAGATCATAGAATGATCTTAGATCATAGAATGATTTCTATTTCTGTCCTTATCTGCAGTTCTGTGTGCTGTTAGACAACTCACTTGCTGGTAACAACCACAAGATAGTAAGTACAGAGGTGGCTGAGCACGTGCAGGGTCACGTGAATGCAGTGTCAAAAATCTATAGCCACTCTTCCTTGATTAAGTATCATACGAGACCAGCAATCCCACATGTATCTGGTTTAATGTTTCGGTTTGTATAAGAATTTCTGAAATAATAGTGTTCATTGAGGGACACTTACATTCTTGTACTTATGTTTGTAGATGTCAGGAGCTCACCACGTTGATAGTCCTACTGAAGAGAGAAGTGATGAAGGTCAAGATGATGTAGTTGATGCAAAGCCAGACAGAAGTAGCAGACTCTCAATTTTTTCAAGGTAAGTTGCTACTTTTATTTCTATTATTTTTCTATCAGCTATGATACTACTCTTCTAATGGGATTCTACTATTCAGTTTGCTGTGCCCACAGTGTCAAAGAGGGTCTGATAGAGAGAAGCTGTATGTTGTGTCAGGTCTGGTGTATCTAATCAGTACCCTAAAGCTGAACAGCCCTCAAGCTGCTCTGATTTACACAGACCTATAGTATCTCTCATCAGCTTATTTGGTAGTCAAGAGACCACTAAGTTCGTTTAGCATCAATTGTAGCCCCTCGTCTTAAACATTGCCCTTTCGTAGAGCTGGGAATTAAATATGCCATTAATTATCTATTTTACTGCATTCAGCTCAGCTAATCTCCTACATCACTGGAATCCCCTGCTGACTATTTAAGTTAGTTTGAAGCCTGGATGTGCCTAGGCTGTAGCACAAAGAAGCCTCACTGAGTCTAGAGATGTAACCCATTACAGAGGAAATTAAAAGCATTTCATTTTAAAGCCTAGTAGTCTCACTGAAGCATAATCTCACTTTCATTAAATGTACAGGCCGCAAGAACTATGTACTGCTGTCTGTACTCCTGAAAACACTAGATAAATGTGATTGAAAATGAAAAAGACAAAAAATGAACATGCAAAATTTACAAATACTATTGTCAGAAAAAGACTACTTCACATTGTGAACTTCTTGTATTTTATTACAGGTGTTTATTACTAAGACATTTACAGAGAGGTTTTGATTTATTTTTTTTTATTGGACATTCACATTCAAGCGAAGAGTATAATTCAGAGAAAGTATATGTACCAGTTAATTTTATTTTTGCATCTTATTATGAGAGGCTAATGGGTATAGCAAATCTGTGAGAGAACTGAAGCTGCCTTAGTCTTAGAAGACTTTTGATGTGCTGTTAAGCAAATCACTCTACTTTTGCTGTCTCTCATTTTCTCATTCCTCAAGTGTGTTATATGATGTGTATGCGTATTATTAATTTTCACAAACTCACATAATACAAAATAGACAATGTAACATTTATTTCTAAATCTTGCAAAATACTTTTCAAAGGTTTCTTTTAAAACTTATTAAATGTGTCTTTTAATATACGATTGGTCTTCTTTATAAGAGGTGATATGCTAATACTGTTATTAAATTATGCAACTCAAAGTTAATCATTCCTGAAGGAAAGGCAAGAATCAGCATTTCTGTCACTTTTCTTTTTTTATAAGAAATTTTTCAAGTAATTTGGCTATTCATCAGTTTGAGGCATTCATCTTTTGGCAACTCCTTGAAGATACAATTTGAAACATTTTTCTTTAGAAATAAAAAATCACTCAGATAAAATAAATACAGAAAAAAAAATAAGAGGTACTTGAGAAGATTCAACGTAGATTTTGTAGAAGAAAAATAAAGCCCAAGAAATCTGTCAAAGCTCCTTGAAGAAGCTGATGATAGTTTAAAGAGTGATGAGCTGCTCTTCTACCAAGAAGGTCTTACAGAAACTACAACTCTTTGGCCTGGAGGAAGATAGGAAAAGAATGTGAGAGCATAAAGAAAGATGGGGAATGATAGTGACTGTGATGTAGGAGAAAGTGAATAGAGAGTGACTGATCATGGTGCCTCACAAAACAACTAGGGGGCATCCAATGAAAAGTTTATGCAGTCACTTTAAAAGAATCAGATGTATTTTCAACAAAACTCAGAGTGCAATTGTACGATGAAGTTGTAAAATGTCACAGGATATGCAGATGTAAATACTTTACTTGAATTCAGAAGAAAATAGATGAATACATGGAAGAAAAGGCTGGTGGGAATATTGATGTTAAAATCTTTGGTACAAGATGTCCCTAAATGAGTTTTCTCTGAGAATATTCCGTTCTACATTTTTTTATTTGTTCTCTTAACTCTCATTACTTGTCAGTACCAGATACTAGTTATATGTACTGTTAGGTAGAACCGAATTGGTTCTTGATTGCCAAGACTCCACTTTGGCAACAGAAAGTTAATACCTGAAAAAAAATGGTGTCTAGAAAGCTTTAGATTGTCTGCAATTATATGTTCTGTTGTTTTGTTTTAGCAACCAAATTTTTACCAGCTGTGCAGTACTTTCAAGGAAATTCAGCATTCTGTTTCAATTATTAGTGCTTAATATACGTAATCTCAGTAGGAAAACAACTAACTTGGTAGATCCACATGTTAATTCTAATGTGGAAGAGAACAGAACAATGAGAAATTGTATTCAAAGCCATGCAGAAAGACCAACTTATTCCAGTAGCTTCACAGCTTCAATTTGCCTTCCTTTGGCTGTGACTGGAGATTTATGTAGCAAGAGCAGTAAATAGGTGAAAATCTTTGATACGGCACATTTCCCTCCACGAAGTCTGTGACCCTGGTTTACCAAGGAGGTAACAAAGCTCAGAACAAGGCACAGAGTGGCTTGTGTGTGCCACAGTTTAGGGGAATTCCTTCCTACGTATTTCCTTTTCTGGGAAAAAATGCTATTACTTAGATAATTTGGGTGAATAAAGTGTTTGGGTTTGTTTTAGGAGTGTTGCGTCTTTTTAGCCACTAGATGGCAGACGGGTTTCACTTTTGTTTACTACAAAACACAACGTAGACAAAAATTACAGAATTGCAGTTGAACAAAAAAGTTGTGTTTCAGAAAGCAGAGACATCAGGGTGCACTCTGGCAAGCCTGAGCCAAACAAAATGTTAAAAGACAATAAACAAATATTGAGCTGAGGATTTGAAACACATTTTTAAATTCTTTGTTATAATTAAAAACTAATAGAACTTTTCCCTTTTTTTTTTTGTCTTCTTTCTTGCATGTATTCATGTTATGCTTTTTGAGACTTTAAAAATAGTCTCTACTTCTCCAAAGGATGATTTAATATCTTCATTTGGAGTCTTTTATTAGGGAACTCTGTTAGGGAGATTGAGAAACAGAGTAGTAAAACCTAGATTAGCATCCAGGTAACAAATTTTTCATGAAATAGAGTAGAATTTGTGTGCCATTGTATTATATGGAGCTAGGATTTCTCTTACTCAAAATATATTGTTATATTTTTTAAAGTTACATCTGAAAATGCCCAAAATTTGGTAGACTAGCACTGGCTCTGTTAATAATCATGACAGTTGGCTTCAATGAAGAAGCATCATGCAGAAGAGGGTAGTTGTTAGTAGTATCTAGATACCAGGTTTATACTAATTTAATTATATAAAAACCGTTGTCCGCTAGTTACTTTTATCCACGGCAGCTCTGCTGTCTGGAAACAGAAGACATCATTTGAATATATATGTAAAAATTACAAATACTGAGTTACCATTGAAACTCTGTGATACTGTAGTACCATTAATGCAAAAAACTTTGAATCATAGAATGGTTTAGGGTTGGAAGCGACCTTAAAGACCATCCAATTCCAACTTCCCTGCCATGGCAGGGACACCTCCCACCAGATCACGTTACCCAAAGCCCCATCCAACCTGGCCTTGAGCACCTCCAGGGATGGGGCATCCACAGCTTCTCTGGGCAGCCTGTGCCAGTGCCTCACCACCCTCTGAGTGAAGAACTTCTTCCTAACATCTAATCTAAACTTACTCTCTTTTAGCTTAAAGCCATCACTCCTCATTCTATCACTACATTCCCTGACAAAGAGTCCCTCCCCAGTTTTCCTGTAGCTCCTTTTAGGTATTGGAAGGCCAAATGCCTCACATGTATTTTAACAAAATACCCATAAAGAGATTGAGAGTCTGGTAGGGTACGTTGACATACACTCACCAAGAGTACTTCAGCTGTTTAACAGTGTAAAACAACAGAATATTTCTATGTTACTTTTTTCTACCAAGTCAGGCTACTGTAAAGTTTGAGACTCTTTATTTTAATTAATTTGAAAGTTTGCAAGAAACATCAGTGCATATCTTACTTCCGTAGTTCAAGAGTTATGATATCCACCAATTAAATATCCAAGGTTCACAGATATATAGGGGTGTTTTTCATTTCATCTATATGGTGTTTATTTGGGCTACGTGGCATCAAAGTGAGGAACCATGGATGTTACTAAAGCTGTTTTAACTTCATGCCCCACATATTAGCATAGTCACATTTCTCAAAATAAATAATCCTATCTTTCAAAGAATAAATACTCATTTTTGAGATTCAGCCACAGCTTTGGAGCTGCAATGAGAGTAGAAAATTGTCTTTGTTTTGGCCTTGCTCTTTTATTGCTCTTCTAGCATTTCAGGAGATATTTTCCGTTCACTTTTGGTTACCAACAGTTTCTTTTTGTTTGGTTTATAAGATGTTTTGCAGGTAGCACTTGGTGAAGAATAGTTTCACATTGTGTATTTCTTTATTCCTTCTCACATCTGCATGTTTTCTGGAGTTGCCCATTTTGTTTTTGGGGGGGCCAGAACTGGGGAGACACTGGGGAACACTGTGCTTGCTCTAATTCATTAATTACTTTATTTACTGAAAAACTGCTGCTGGTATCATTGAATGGTTGTGAAGCAACTGTATTGGCCTCCAGATCTGCTGTTTCTGCATTGAAATTAATGTGTTCAAATCCAAATGATGCTTTGAATGATAACTCATCTTTTTTTACCGTAACTTTCACAGTTTTAAGGTAAAAAATTAAGTTCTGTTACAGGTTTTCCAGCCACAGAATATTACAGACCTTTCAAACCCAAATATTGCTAAGTGCCTCTTTTATCCTTAAATTAGGTGTAATAAAAATAGCAAGTTACCTTAAAAGAAATAAGAGCCAATGAATCATTATTTGAATTTATGCTCTGGGCTGGAATAAAGAGATCTGAACTGAACACTTGGTTCAGCCTCAGGTTTCCTCTATGTCTCCAAGCAAATCACCATGTGCCGTAGTTTTTCCTGTAAACGGGTGATGATCTTTCCTTTCAGCATCCCGTAAAGGCTGTCATTTTAATTTGTTTGATGTTTGTGGGTTCTGCTTTCACAGGCTAAATACCAGAGTATGTCCCCCAAAGCACTGAACATATAATTT